CTAGTGGGCTAGCATGCTTAAGGCTAATCAAAACACAGACTGCGTTCAAGAATGTACTTTTAAACATTCTAAAGTAAGACATTTGAAAATATTGGCACTATGATCTCTACTGCAACGAAAGTTCTTTATCTACAGAACTTTAACATAGCTGTTGGCAGTGTTCCACGAAGCAAATATAAGATTGAGCAAATCCAAATGGCAATCTAAGTCACAGTTCAAGGTTTTAAAATAAAGTACAAAGATCTAGCTCTGAAATCACAAATATTTAATGTAAAGAATTAAGTATGTCTGAGATATAAAACAATTTTTAGAGATATAATGCGGAGTGCAATCTGCTTAAATGTCACTAAAGTGAATATTCCTATTCATAACTCCTTACTAGAATTACTATGTATTGGTGGTGGTGATGGTATGCCGTGGAGTCAGTTCTGACTCAGCAACCCTGTACAGGGTTTCCAAGGCTAGAAATCTTTACAGCAACAGAAAGCCTCATCTTTCTCCCGCAGAACGACTGGTAGTTTCAAACTGCTGACCTTAGGGTTAGCAGCATGACTTGTAACCACTATGCTACCAGAACTCCCTTACAATGTAGTTGTTGTTAATCAAGTTGGTTCTGACCCATAGCAACCCTAACAGCTGGTAAGCTTGAACTGCTGATGTTGCAGTTCAAACGACTTTGCAGTCTAGCACATTAACCCATAGCGCTACACCAGGACTACTTACTATGTAATAGAACAAGCAAAAAATGTAAAAGACCTCTGAGCAGCACAAATAGCTGTAGAGCTAGTTATCCTTATTTTATATTTTATTTCTAACAGGCTCATGAATTTATTTCCAAGTCCACAGTCAATCTGGAGAAACAAATTTGGTGCTGGGAGGCTGCCTACAAATGCTGGGGGTGGGGCGGGGGAAGTGGAAGTTGCCAGTCTAACAGCAAATCAAGAGGGGAAATATGGAAAAGTGAATGGGGAAAAAAAAACCCAAACTCACAAAGTAGAGCAATCTCAGACTATTTAGCAAGAAGGGTGAAAGTTCCTAAAAAATCACAGCAACATGCAAGCCACCACAGAACAACAAACTGACAGAGGAGTGGTAGAATGACTTCATTATATATAAGACAAATTATCATGATGTGAAATTTTACTTATCAAGTCAATTATCTATGTTCCTTAGTTTGTTAATTTGTGATAGCATTTATAAAGACTTTTATTTGAAAGTTTTGATTCTTTAGATAATGCTCAATTCTTTATAAAATTCAATTGTTGGAATACTCCATTTCTCCTAGGCAGTTGTTGTTGTTATGTGCCATGGAGTTGATTCCAACTCAGAGCGACCCTGTACAGGGTTTCCGAGACTGTAAATCTTTATAGGAGCAGAAAGCCTCATCTTTCTCCCACAGAACAGCTGATAGTTTCGAACTGCTGACCATGAGATTTAGCAGCCCAATTCGTAACCACTACACTACCAGAGAGCTCCTTAGAGGGTGAAGATTTTACTGTTTATACCAAAATCTTCTGCGTCTTCTTTATTAAAGCAATTATCAGCATTTATGGACTAATATAACCTTACTTTAGATAACACGTGACAACAGTAAGCAGCAGAAAACTCCCACACTTAGTTACACACGCTTCCCTCTAATTTTAAATGACTTTTTTTAAGGTTCTTAAATCAGAGACACTAAATATTTATAAACCAACAATTTAAAAAATTAAATGGCATGTTCACTCCAAATACTCACAGCTAATTTTAATTTAAGTGTTTTAATTTTGGTGAACTCTTGTAAGCTAATTCCTGTACCACTAAACAGGGCATTGCATTTACCATTATTGACATCACTTCTTTGTCACCACTACTTCTCTTTTATCAATGATGGCATTGATGTAATGACCTGAACTGGTATCATTCTCGAAAAATCATTTTACAAAACAATCTAGAAAAGCTCACAGGGTATTAAAGTTATACTAGCTATAAAGTGACAGCAGAAATTGATCTTATTTCTAGCTAATTATGCATCTATCACTCATCAAGAAGTTTACAATTCAATTGAACAACATTTAAATAAAGTGTATTATCTTTAGTCCTCGTGTGGATAAGCACTGGACTGCTAAGCACAATGTGTGCAGTTCAAATCCATCAGCTGCTCTTCAGAAAATTTACACATGGTGGATCACTGTGAGTTGAAACCATCTAGACAGTACTTAACACCAAATCTTCACTTGGTTGTTATATTAAGATTTGCCATCTTTGATACAAAATGATGCCTCTGAACCTGGCATGTATTAACCTGCATGATGATAGATTTGCACTCATTTGTCATGTTTAACTGACCTTTAATTATAAGCAGATCTGAAAGATCTTAAAGGAGCTCTGGTAGCGTAGTGGTTACAAATCGGGCTGCTAATCTCAGGGTCAGCAGTTCGAAACTACCAGCTGTTCAGGGAGAGAAAAAGGAGGCTGTCTGGTCCCATAAAGATTTACAGCCTAGGAAACCCTTTGTAGGGTTACTATGTGTCGGAACCGACCCCATGGTATTTAACAATAACATAGGCTCTTGGAATACTGGTGTGGCGCTGGAGGATAGCAATGGACTGCAAGGTTGGTGGTTCAAACTCACAACTGCTAATCAGAAAGCCTATATGAAACTGCTGAGCTGGAACCAACTCGATGACACTTAACAACAATGGGCTCTTACAACATTCTGGCATTCCAATAAGCAAAACTCACCAGAAACTACAATGCCTACCTCTGAATTCCAGCGGTAGTGTATGGTGGAGTGGGTTCCGACTCATAGCAACCCTGCACAGGGTTTCTGAAGCTGTAAATCTTAGGAGCAGAAAGCCTCAGTTTTCTGCAGAACGACTGGTAACTTCGAACTGCTGACCTTGAAGTTAGCAGCCTGACTTGGAACCACTATGCTACCAGTGCTCCTTGGAATTCCATTAAGATACTTAAAAAATATATTAACAAAACCCTTTGGTGGGTAAGCCTATTCATTTAGGATCTTAGTGTCTTCCAACTCACCACCAAAAGAGAAATTTGGCTAAATCCCTCACATTCAAAATGGTTAAATAGCTTTTAGATAAGTAATCTCATCCATTTGGTGCTATTTTCCTACCAGTCACATATCTATTTCTAGATTGGAACTCAGAAACATTCAGAAATTAGTTATTCTCTAAAAATTACCATAAATCAATATAAACAGAAAACTGATACACCAGCGATTTTATTGATTTAAAGTTACATAAAAATAACTTTACCAGAAAAACATGCTAATTCTTCACAGCTGTTCCCTAAAAGAAATGGCCGACTAAAAGTTCAAAGGTTTTTTCCTTATCTACACAAAACAGTTATTAAAATCTTATCTGGGAAAAAAATTAATTTCATCCTGAGAAATGACAATGCATTTCAGCCTACTTGAAGTGGATGTTTGCATTAAACGACTCAGGAACTTGAGGTCAGGTTTATAAGATACACAGTACTTAAAATGTTCTTGTTAGATTTTCACATTTCCAACAAAATCTGCTAGTCAAAGGGGTCCTATCTTCAAATGCCTTTTTTTTTTTTTTTTAACAAGATGACTAATATTCCTTTTCTTAAGCCTTTGAAGACAAAGAAAGAGAAATATAGCACCTGCCTGCATTATTTGCAGAATATTATCTAAAGGTCTCCAAGCAGACAGAGACCCAGGAAAACAGTATACCACAGTATCAGGAGCAGTATTTGTAGTAGTATTGTATGTAATAATAGGTAATTATATTTTTACTGATTTATCTTCTAAATCTCTGAAGAGAATACAGCAGTAGAGAGAGAACTTGGCGTTTAGCAATGCACCACCAATCAATTTCTCAGGGGGAAGCATCTGGAAGGGACAATGGAGACAGGGGACAAACGAAGCAAAAGGAAAAGATGGCCAAGGTCAGGAGCGAACGCATTTGATTGACAAGTGATAAATAAATTCATTTCCAGTCTACGTATGCTCAGAAAGTGCAAACGGGAGAGTGGTTAAAAGGAATCAATGTTTCTTATTTGGGGTAGAAAGGATTAAAAAAAAAACAAAATCTCTTGTTATTCTCCAAAAAATGTAAGTTAACTAAACTCTAACAATGACAAAACAGTGATTATCCAATGACTTGTCACAGAAATCTTTGCCCAGCTTTTGCGGCCACAGACTGACTAGTGGTTGACGGCTAAATAGGAAATGCAAGTGCCTGGCCCCCTCCCCCACCCTGCCTTGTGCTTTTCCGTTTCCTATCTCGAGAGGTCGTCAAATCAAAAAGGGAGAGGGAGAAGCATCAATACCCCCAAACCAGGTTTTCTGTTGTTATTGTTATTTAAAATTCTGCAGGAGTGTGAAACTCTTGTTCCACCTACTTTTATTTCGTCATTAGTATTCATGATAAAGTACTAGGTTTTCAATCCCCACGTCTTTCCTTCCACAGGAGACACCACCACTCTAACCAGCAACCGACCTAAACTGCCATGAGGTTACGAGATGAAACTCCTTCAGAACTCATCCATCCTAACCAGAGAAAATTCCCTTTTCCCGACACCCTTCAGCACCACCCCTTCCTTGGGGATAAGCAAACAAATAAACAAAACACAAGAAAACAACTTAAAGTACCAACAAGCAGACGCAAAACCGCAGGCCGGCTCGCCCACTGAAGGCAATATCCCCAGTCGCCTGCACACCCAGGGATTCAGGAAATACAGACAGGCCGACTCTACGCGTCCAGTGGAAGGGTGAGTCCGCACCTCACACATCCACAAGTCCTAGGGAAAGGAAGGCAATGCCGCAAACGAGAACGACAACTGCTAAGAGACCGGAAAAACCTGCCCATAAGGCAAGGGGTCGTGCGGAACGGAGCCGCCCCTGGTTCGGCCGCCTAGACTAAGCCGGGAAGCCCTGGACAGGCTGGGGTCGTCGCCCCCGTCCCTTGGACCCACGTCCGGCTCGTAGAGGTTTCCGGCCTCCTCGGCCTCGGCCTCCGCCTGGAACTCACCGTCAGGCCGGTGCCCAGCACGATCACGTCGTACTCCTCATTCATGGCGGGGACAGGGAAAGAATGAAAGATAAGAAAAAAGGAGAAAGCGCAGGGATACTGCAGTGCGAAGGGGGTTATGTATCAGTCCTAAAGCGGCAGTGGAAGAGCTCAGGCCGATCTCTGGACCAAAGAGAAAAAGGAAGACAGGAGAGGCAAAATGGAGCTGAGAAGGAGGCGAACCCGCCCGCCACCTCAGACGGTAAAAGAAGAGCCGGGAAGGGAGGGGAAAAGAGAAGGAAGGGAAGGGAGGGGGAGAGAGGCGGGGCGGGCAACCAGAGCCCTCCGCTGTCTGGGGGCGGGACTTAGAGAGAGGTGCAGCGCAGGGCTATCAATCACACTTCTTCTTCTCTCTTATTGGTTATTTTCCCATCACTCGCCCCACTTTCTTCTCCCACTTCACGCGAGAAGAGGTTGGGGCGTGTACGGCTTAGATTCCTGTAGCCCGCCGGGTTCCTTGCCACCGTGGTTGTGGGGCGGAGGCGGTGACCAATCTCCGTTGACGATGATGTGGGAAGGAAGTATGGCATGAAGCTAAAGATGGGCTGTCAGTTTGACTATCGCAACTTCTGTGGGAACTCAGTCGCATCTAAAGTTTCTAAGTCGTACTGCCACCTTTGGACTTTGAGCTGGTACACGCCGACTCGTGTTTGCGGCTGCCACGTGGGATTCGGGAAGGGGGTGAGGGAAGGACTGGACCCAGCAGCAGTGCCTGGAAAAGTGCTGGCACTCTGTTAGCTGCTTGTGCAAGGACTGCGGACTGAGGAAAACCCGTTTCCCAGTACTGCAGACCCTACTCGACCGTGTCTCACGGAGTTGAAGCTTCTTTACTTTGCGTGGCTTGGGATTACTGACTGAGAATGTTACGTAATGTGGCGTGACACTCGCTGTTGCCAATGGACTAGATGGGCTGGTAGGACTTTAGAGCTGCCGCTGAGCGTGTGCTCCAAACGTTCAGCTAACCCAACTTCCGGATGCTTGCGCACTGGCCGCAGTTGATATTGTTTACGATAAAAGTATTAGTAACTTTTTTTTTTTTTTTCCTGTCCTGACTTTTTTCAGGGACAAACGTAGCGTAGTGGTTACGAATCTGGCTGTGAACCTCAAGATCAGCAGTTCGAAACTACCAGCTGTTCCGCGGGAGAAAGATGAGGCGTTCTGCTCCCATAAAGATTTACAGCCTCGGAAACCCTGTGCAGGGTCGCTATGAGTCGGAACCGACTCCACGGCACTTAACAACAACAAGAACATATCTGAAGAAGTTCAGAAATCACCTGTTCTCTCATTTCCTGCCTTATGTCTTTCTTGCTTTGGATGCATTCTCTATACCCATGTGCGGCCTTAGGAAATTTGGAAGAAGGGAAAAAAACCTTAATTTGGAAAGAAAAAATAATACCTCTTAAAGGGAGGGAGTCCTGGTGTGGCGCTGTGGGTTAATGCGCCAGACTGCAAAGCTGTTTGAACTGCAAGGTCGGTAGTTCAAGCTCACCAGCCGCTCCTTGGAAACCCTACACAGTGTCGCTATGGGTCGGAACCGAGTCCACGGCACTTCACAACAACAACAGTATAAAGGGAAGGGAAAAATTGATTTGGAAGCAGATCTGTACCTACTGAGAGCTGTGGCTTAAGCCAGCTATAAAAATAGTGGCTGACAAGTGTACCTGAGGGTTTAACATGGCAGAAGCGATACCCTTTGCCCTTCTTTTTTCTACACACACACACCCACACACTTTTCTTTTTCTTTAATAAATTCTCTTTCGACTTTCTGGCCTTGGGTTTGACGAAAGAGATTTAAGCAGAGGCTTATGTTCTTTTAACCGAAAGAGAATAAACCCTGAGATTACTAGACAAGAAGCCTTCCAGGCAAGTGGTTTCCCTAAAGGGAAAACACATGTTAAACATGTTTTTAGCCTGCCATAGGGCTGTATACTTAGTAGCCAATTGTTGCTGCTAAGTATCGTTGAGTAGGTTCCTACTCATAGCGACCTTATCTATAGAGGATTTCCAAGGAGCGGGTGGTGAGCTTGAACCACCGACCTTGCGATTCAAACCAACTTTGCAGTCCAGAGCATTAACCTGCCGCGCCCCAATAATGACGCAGTTATTTCCTTAAGGAAGTCCTGGTGAAGTGCTGTAGGATAAGCCCTGGACCGTAGTTGTTGTTAAGTGCCGTCGAATCGGTTCCCACCCATAGCGACCCTATACAGGGTTTCTGAGGCTGTAAATCTTTACAGGAGCAGAAAGCCTCATCTTTCTCCCGTGGAGTAGCTGGTAGTTTCGAACTGTTGACCTTGCGGTTCACAGCCCGATTCGTAACCACTACGCTACTTGAATTGCTGTATATATGCCCCAGCCGTTCCTCGGAAACTATACAGTGTCAGTGAGTCGGCACAAATTTCCTTCGAGTTTTTCTGTCACATTGAGCTTGATAAAGAGCTGTGCAACATGAATCTTAAATTTCTGCATGCTTTAATTACTCAGATTCAGGAAAGAATGCAACAATGTTTACGTTGTTTTTTTACCCCATAAAGACATATGACAGATCTTTTGGGTATGAGGAAGAAGAAAGCAGCTATATTTACATACAAACGTTAATTGAATTTTATAAATATCAACTGCCAAGTTTATTAGACTACTGACTTTTCTTTTGACTAAAGAGATGATGCCTTAAGAAGGTCCTATTGTTGCTCTATCTGTTCAAATAAATACCTTTATTTTCCAACCGATTTAAAATATTGACCTTTTTTTTTTTTTTTAAATTAAACTAGCAATGACAATAAAGAACCTTTGGGCTCTGGAAATTGAGGCTTTTAAAGGATATCAGCTGAATTATATTATCTTTTAAATGAAGAATAAATATTTCATTAGTATTCTGATAGCATTAACTGAAAAAACAATTGTTTTGAAATAACAGAATTGAATTTAAGGCTATTAAGACTCCTCTTGCCCTGAAGTTTACTTTTATTTTGTTGGCAGTACAGGTCTTATAGGAGTCCCTGGGTGGAGCAAATAGTTAGTGTGTTTGGCTGCTAATGGAAAAGCTGGAGGTTCAAGTCCTTCCAGAGGCACCTTGTGTGAAAAGTCTGGTAATCTACTTGTGAAAATCCAGCCATTGTAAACCCGATGGAGCATAGTTGTATTCTGGCACACATAGGGTCACCATGAGTAGGAGTTGAGTCAACGACAACTGGTTTACAGGTCCTGTAAAAGCAGAAAAACAAAAAAACAGGTTGACTCCATCCCAAATTATTCTGTACTTGTTCTTAGCTCTTCTACCCCCATCTATTTCAGTGATGAAAACAAATGTATTTATGATGAAGTGACTTGAAAGCCACTAATTGATTGGCTCAGTGTATCACAGACCACACATGACAGTTCCTGTTAGACTGAAACTTTACATTTAAGGGAAGTAGGTTGGTTGATGGAGAGGAATAGAAACATCAGTCTTAAAAATATGTCTAATCTTTACACAAAGCAAGAACCCTGTGAGGGTCTAATTTACACCTGGGGGTACTTGAGAATAAGTACTTACTGATCTGTTTCTTTTAAGTCTCCATCTGTACTTTACAAAGGAAGAGACTTTGAATCTAAGGAAAGAGATAATTAGAGTGAGCCTTAGAGCAGGCCATTTTACTCTCACCTGGACCACAGCAACCATTTCCTAAATGGTTTTCCTGCCATTTTTATTCCTTTCTTTGCCCATTATCTTTGTGAAATGTTAGTCAGGTTGTGTTCATACTTCCACATATTTTTTGTATTTACAATAAAATACAAATTCCTTAAGCTGGTCTACAAAGTATTGTTTAACAGAACTTCTGCATTGCTATACTCCTTGCTAACTACCCTCCAAACACAATCATCTTTCAGTTCCTAGATTCTGGTCAGACTTTTAACCACCTGGTCAGTATCTAAATTTGAACTCTTGCTGGTCCCATAACTACCAAACCTAACTTAGCCCTCCTACGCTTCTTCATATAGCCAGCTCTTTCTACTTGCTTAGGTTTCAGTTTAAAAATCATCCTTGACTACCATCTGAGGGAGATGCCCCTCAAACATTATTCCCTTTCATTGCTTTTATCAAAATGGTCATTATTCACTAGTTTTTTTGTCTCTCCTCCAATTAGAAAGTAAATTCCACTAGGCAGGGATCCTTCAGCACCACAGCTTAGACTCCTAACATCTAGAACAGTGTTGGATGGCCTCTAAGAGGAGGCTTTAAAAAGTTTGTGGAAATGAAGTGTATAATTTATTAAATGTGGAACTGATGATCTGTTCTATAAACCTTCACTGAATTCACAATAGAAAGTTTAAAAAAAAAAGTTTGTAGAAAAATGGAATTAATAATAAAGGAGCTCTGGTAGCGTAGTGGTTGTGGTTACGAAATGGGCTGCGAACCTCAAGTTCAGCAGTTCGAAACTACCAGCTGTTCCGTGGGAGAAAGATGAGGCTTTCTGTTCCCATAAAGATTTACAGCCTCGGAAACCCTGTACAGGGTCACTATGAGTCAGAACCGACTCCATGGCACATAACAACAACAAATAGAAGAAACCTGAAAGTTGATTCCTTTAACTCTGCAAGGACTAAAAGTACCCGATATTTTTGAAAAGCGCAACTTTTCTTATATCAAAACATACTAACATTGATATTCACAAGGGTCTTACTGCCATTGAGTAGATTCTAACTCATAACAACCCTATAGAGCAAAATAGAACTGCTCCATGGGGTTTCCAAGGCTGTAATCTCCATGGGGTTTCCAAGGCTGAAATGGTTAATGTTCAACCATTTCAAGAGATACCATATGAACAAGAGCCAATGATACTCAGAGAGGAAGTCCAAAGTGCATTGAAAGAAGTGGCAAAG